TTATAACTTATTTAGTAGTAGAGCTGCGTGAGTTACTCAATAAGTAGTTTTCAAAGGCATCATCTCAGAGGACATAATCAAGACTAATACCAAGTTCTATATGTACATACATATACGCATATCTACATCGATATATCACTATATATACAACTTCACTGAAGATGCTTATAATCTAGTTGAGAAATATAAATAACACATTCTCCCAACAGAAATACAGAAAAGTTTATAATTACATACCAAATTATACAGTATAGACAAGTATTATTAGAATTTTGCCTAAAATTTCATAGGCTGAATGACAAGCAGAAAAAGCTACTCACAAGAGAAAACCTATATTCAGAGTCACTCTGACAATTGTGAGAATTAATTTGACCTACAGTATGCCAGTATTTAACTAGAAACTAAGCTACTAACAGTTGACCATGTAAAGACAAGGTGGGATATTAGCTGCACTCACTGAAATATTTGGATGAAACATCAACTGCTTTATTTAGGTCTGACCTTTATGAACAAGAGATAAGTGTAAAAATAGAACCACAGTCATCCAAGGGGAGAAAAAAACATAATTAAGAGGCCAGAAGCCATGAAACAACAATTTCTCCTGAACATGCAGAGCAGCCTGAGTTTCTGCATACGTGTTTGTTGCCTGGATGTCAAGTACTGTCTAGAGGGGAAAACTGAGCAAGGAATAGAAAAATGTCAGTGCTGTTTAACAGTTGGCCATGCTGTTAGCTGGCATTACATTTGCATTTCAAACTTGGGGTTTGACCTGTACACTCCAAATTGTACATTTAACCTCACTAATAGTGTTCCTAACATTCTAGTACACATCCATGACAGTGCATACATTTCCTGGGTTATGTTTTGTTGTGATTTTAATTTTCACAAATCTATATCATCTCCCTTGCCTCAAGAGAAAAGGGTATTTTCATATACAACCAACCCTAGAGTTTTTCCCACTCAATATATTCAGCAATGTCATTTGAGTTAAAGCAATTATGTTAACTATAGAGACCACAGAATCAATCTCTTATTTATGCATGCTTATTATTTTTACAGTACCAGGGACTGACCCCCAGGTGGTTATGCTTCCTACTACTTGAGCTATACTCCATTTAGTTTTTAATTTGGTTTGGTTTTGGTTTTTTTTAGATAAAGTCTCACAGGACTAGTGCATAGCTTAAGTGACATGGTGCTTGTCGAAACAATCAGAAAGCTCTGACTTTAATCCCTAGTGCTGAAAAAAATACCATAATAGGAAAAATAAAAAATCGAGAGTCCCACAAGTTTTCCCACTCTCTACTTCAGTTGATTGTCTCTGAAGAACTGAATTCCCCAAGGAATGGGGCACTCACAGAGCCTAATTTTATGCTGTAAGTGTGTTGAGCATAGATGCCATGCTGGAAAAGGTACTCTCTTTCCACGATGTAATCTCCTGATTACATTGAGAATTAAGTTCTAGTACAGTATGAGGATATCTTCACCATTTCACAAATACTAATGTTCTTTCATAACAAAGACAATAGAGCTCAGGACAGCAACATCTACTTAGAATTCAATGGTGTTTTTCTTAGATTTCATTTATGTTTAGAACTTTCATCTATATATAGCAAGTGATACTATACTGTTTCCCATTTATAGAAATAATATATACTTCCCTGTAAATAAGTTTGAGTTGATTTATTTTTTAAAGTGTGTTAAAGGCAAATAGTGGGAACCTGGGACCCAGTGTGTCACACCTAGAATCCTTGCTGTTCAGGAGGCTGAGATCTGAGGATCATGGTTTAAAGCCAGCCCAAACAGGAAGGTCCATGAGACTCATCTCCAATTAATCCAGAAGTGGCAGTGTGGCTCAAGAAGTAGAGTGCTAGCCTTCAGCAAAAGAAGCTCAGGGATAGCATCCAGTCCCACAGTTCAAGCCCCAGCACCGGCAAAAAAAAAAAAAACCTGGAGAAATAAGAGTACAAATGGTTCTGCTATAGTGAAGTCTGTGTAATAGTATTTCACCAGTTAGGAAAATGCTGCTAAAATAATTAATATTAAAGATGTTCATTTGTTTGATTCCATGTTAATTATTGTTAATGTTTTTACCCATGCAATAGAGTAATAACTAAATTTCATTTCTGTTGACTGGGAACTACAATTGGTTATTGAATCGAAGAATATAAGCAAAGAATTTATTGATAGAATTTAGTGAGTATTAAGAGGTAGGCCCAGCAAATGACATAGCTAGCAAGATCAATAGAAAGCCCACGGACTGGGAGAAGATCTTTACTAGCCATACAACGGACAAGGGTCTCATATGTAAAATATACTTGGAACTCAAAAAATTAAACCACCCAACAACAAATCCTCAAAGAAACAACTGCCCAATAAGTAAGTGGGCTAAAGACTTAAAGAGAAGCTTCTCTGAAGAAGAAAGAAGGATGGCTAATAGACACATGAAGAAATGTTCAACATCCCTAGCCATAAAAGAAATGCAAATCAAAACAACATTGAGATATCACCTCACTCCAGTTAGAACGGCAAAAATCAAGAACTCTAACAACAATAGATGCTGGAGGGGATGTGGACAGAAAGGAACCTTACTTCATTGTTGGTGGGAATGTAAACTTGTTCAACCACTTTGGAAAGCAGTATGGAGGTTCCTCAAAAGACTTCACATAGAGCTCCCCTATGACCCAGCAATCCCACTTTTGGGCATTTACCCTAATGTTTACAAACAAGACCACACTAAAGCTACCAGCACAACTATGTTTATTGCAGCATTATTTACCATAGCTAAGATATGGAACCAACCCAGATGCCCCTCAGTAGATGAATGGATCAAGAAAATGTGGTATATATACACAATGGAATTCTATGCCTCCATCAGAAAGAATGACATTGCCCCATTTGTTAGGAAATGGAAAAACTTGGAAAAAATTATATTAAGTGAAGTAAGCCAGGCCCAAAGAAACGTAGGTCCCATGGTTTCCCTTATTTGTAATATCTAGTATATGTATGAGTCAAGCGGAAAAGGTCAGATAATGTGATGTCAGGAAAATGAACCCTTAGATGTGTATTTTAATGTTTTTTTTCTTTCATGCATGTGTTTCTAACACATTTATAAGATTATCTCTTTGTTGCTTTGTATGTCCCTCCTCCACAGTATAACCCCTGCTTTCACTATATTTGATGTCAGTATAACTTGTGGAGGAGATGGGGAAAAACCAGTTGTTTAAGGATACAGGTGGACCTGTTGCAACAAATGAGAAGTACAAGTTGTCATGTCCAAAACGAGCTTTACAACGTTGGTGCGGGGGGGGGGGGGGGGGGAGGAAAAGGATTGGGATAAGGGGGGGAGGGGGGAGGCTGGGAAGGGATGTGAAGGATAAACAAAGGAGGAGGCTGCAATGCTTGGTAAGAAATGTACGCATTATCCTGCCCATGTAACTGTAACTCCTCTGTACAGTATGTTCACAAATAAAATTAAATTAAATTAAAAAAAAAAAAAAAGAGGTAGGCCCAGGTACCAGTGGTTCATGCCTATCTTCCTAGCTACGCAGGAGGCTAAGGTCTTAGGATCATGGTTCAAAGCCAATCCAGGCAGAAAAGCCCATGAGACTCATATCCAATTAACTACCAAAACAAACAAATAACTACCACAGCTCCATTTCAGCAAAAAAAAAAAAACTCAGAAACAATACCCAAGCCCTGAGTTCAAGCCCCAGGATCAATACATACACACACACACACACACACACACACACACACACACACACACACACACACACACACACGATAGAACAAGGTGTTATTTAATAGCATCATTTCCCAGTTATTGGTTGTGCAAGAGTCTGGAGGGGTCATAGATGCTGCCACAGTAACAGGAACAGAGTCATGTTTGACATGACAATTTTAGGCATTTCAATAATAAAACCATATATATGCAGACATTCTAATGGCTTCAAAACTGTCAATAATTCTTTCAAAGAAAATTAAGTAAAGGTAGAGACAGCCTAATATCACAGGAAATCCATTCCCATCATCTGCGTTCACTATTTGTTAACTTCCAAAAGAATATGAAGCAAGAAACTAAAGTGAAAATGGTGATTGAACAATCATTCCAAATTAACCAAAAGGGTAGAACAGACATTTTTATATGAGATATATATGCATTCTACAAATGACAAAAACAAAATCATTAATTTTTTCTAAAATTGTCTACCGTTACCTGGTTATTTAACAAATACTGTTGGACATGGGTCCACTTTACTAGAAAGATTAAATAGATTCATCATTTTTCTTCCCATACCCTCAATATTAACTTTTAGGTGTGAGTGTTTAACAAGGGAAAACATGATGCAAGGTCATTTTAACCAAATAAAAATAACTAAAAATTTTAGTCATTGTAACCAGATCAAAAGAGCTTAAAAAGAATTTTATGTGTAAGAGTAAAGATGATTTAAGAAAAAAGATTCACTCTCTCATACCATGATTATGAAGAGCTTACAGAAAAATAAAAATGTTACTTGTTTGTTAGTAAGAACACACTTTAAGCATCAGTAGCTTAACCGGTTAGTATTTCCAATGAGAGAGAAATCTAAATTATGGAAAACCACCTATAATATTTTAATCAATAAATGTACATAGAAATCATTTTGGTATCATCAAATCCCAATGGTGGCAGACACTTCAAATAGAATTTTCCTGGTATTTGTATCAATAATACCTGTTAAACATCATACATTTCTGGTCCAACTATAATGCTGTGTTCGCCCACTGTGATCCTAACATCAGTGTGATCTCATAAGTACTGCCATGATCTTTGAGATTATGAAGAATCACAGTAGGAAGGCTATGGGACTAACTCATCCTCTAGCTCTTAAATGGTGGCCCCTGAGTATTAGAAGAACATTAATAGACAGCAAAGCTGAAGAAATAAAGGTATAAACTGAAACTCAAATGACATTGAATTTCAGACATGTCTGATCTTATTGCTGTTAACAGGAAGTTACCTGGTCTAGGTCTTGAGCCTATGCCACCAATGAAGTCTCTGAAAAGAGAAGAAAAGGCCATTAGAAGGATTCCTTCAACACACATTTACTGGTAGCTACATTCTGCGATGGTCTACATAATAAACATCTTTTGGAGCTATTCTCAAGGTTTAATGGAGGGAATACACGTATTCTCACTCCAGAGTAGAATGGACACTCCCCTAGCAAATACAGGAAGCTCATCTCACCATGGCTGTCTACAAGCACTAAAGCTGTTTAAGGGTCTAAATCTCAGTGTCCTGAATTATTTTTCTTTTTGTTACACTTAAAATCAAAGAAGTGACTCTGTATTGAAAACAAATAACATAGCCAGGCACTGGTGGCTCCTGCCTATAAACCTAGCTACTCAAGAGGCTAAGATCTGAGAATCCCTGTTCAGAGCCAGTCTAGACAGACAACGCAGAGAAACACATCTCTAAAGAACCAGCAAAAAGCCACAAGTAGAAGCATGGTCAAACAAGTAAGAAAGCAGAGCCCTAAGTTTAAGCCTTCCTGCCAGCAATACGCACATGCATGTACGTGCGTGTGCACACACACACACACACATACACACACACACACACACACACACACACACACAAATAACATTTACACTCTACATAATGTATTTTCCACAATTTGCCATTGCTGTTTTCAAAGACAGAACTACAATTACTATTCCTATGAAATGAGATGATTTTTGCATTTTAAAATGTTGTATTTTTTTCTTAGAGCAAAGGTGTTAGTAACAACCTTTACCTTTCCCCAAAGCTCTAGGCTGCATGATCATCTTAAAATTTGGCCTCAGAGCTTTCTCCCCATGGAACTGGCTTTAACATCTCCAGCAACGATATTCGTGATAACCTCTTGTTTTTCCATTCTAACCTTAAGTCAATTCCTTAGCAGTTTTCTGTAATGAAATCTGCTTTCTAACAACTTATAAAAGCCATACCTTAATGTACCACGAGCTAACAGAAACATGTTTAACACCCACATCGTGCGTGTTGGATATTTGTTCAGCAGTATTGGTATAGAAATTCAAATAAAAGTAAACACAGCCACTCTGATTTCAACCTTTTCATTTTAATCAGAATTTTCAAGCCTTACACAGACCTCAAATCTAAATTACTGAGTGAAACAAAACTGACACACATTTACCTCACACTCAACATAAGTACTAGAATAATACCAAAATCCCTGGATCCACTTCTGAGTTCCTTCCCGATCCCTTTCCCAACAGCCCTTTGACCCTCACATCAAGCCAGCCCTCTTTTGAGCCCCTAAATGTTTTCTTTGTCCCTTTCTAGTCCAAGTTGACAGAACCTTGAAGTGGAAATAAAACTCAACATCCTTGTACAGTTAAGACACTCGTCGTGGCTTTGGGATGAGAAGCAGGTTTAAAGAAAGAAAATAAATAGACCTGATCTCAAAAGATCAGAGAAGGGCATGTTCATGGTAATGACCATTACGGGGACAGCCTCCAGGCTGGGCTAGATTGCTGAACTTCTGCTCTGCTCCCCATATCCTATTGCATAGAGCAAGCTCCATTCAATGTGCTCTCACTAAGTGAAAAGAGTCTTCTGGCTGTGTTCACACTCTCCGGCCAAACTATAACCTCTGTTATCCTAGCTACTCAGGAGGCTGAGACCTGGAGGATGGAGGTTGAAGCCAGGCCAGGCAGAAAATCTTCTACACTCCACCTCCAATTAATGAACAAAATGCCGAGCTAGAGATATGACTCAAACAGTAAAGTGAAAAAGCCAAGTGAGACTTTGAAGTCCTGAGTTTAAATCCCAAGGAACTGAGCTCGAGTACTGGCCAACATATATGATACATATTTATGTAATATATATATATATATATATATATATAATGTTTTATCTCTTTTTTTTTTTTTTTTGTCGGTCGTGGGGCTTGAACTCTGGGCCTGGGCGCTGTCCCTCAGTTCTTCAACTCAAGGCGAGCGCTCTACCACTTGAGCTATAGCGCCACTTCCGTGTTTTATCTCTTTTAAGACAGGATCTTGCTATATACCCCAGGCTAGCCTGGAAACTCACTTTGTAGCTCAAGGTGATCTCAACCTTGGGATCCTCCTACATCAGCCTCCTGAGTGCTAGGATTACAGGTATGCAACTACCATGCCTGGCTTGGTGACCATGTTTTTTTAAAAATAAAAATTAAATTATGTAACTTGAGGGTAGGAATGGGATGGGGAAAGAAGGGAGGAGAACAATGGAAGGAGCAACATTGGCCAAGAAGCATTGTACTCATAACCTGGCTTTTGGAATTTAATCCTCTTGGTACCACGACTTAATAAAAATAAAATAAAGTGTGAAATTACTCTTCTTATTTTAATTAAACATATCCAAAATATTACCATTTCTATATACAAAAAATAATATTTACTTGTTTTAAACTTAAACCAGAAAAATAAATGAAATTAGAAATTCACTTCGTAGCCGGGCGCTGGTGGCTCCCGCCTGTAATCCTAGCTACTCAGGAGGCTGAGATCTGAGGATCGCAGTTCAAAGCCAGCCCAGGCAGGAGAGACCGTGAGACTCCTATCTCCAATAAACCACCAGAAAACCGGAAGTGGCGCTGTAGCTCAAGTGGTAGAGCGCTCGCCTTGAGCTGAAGAGCTGAGGGACAGCGCCCAGGCCCAGAGTTCAAGCCCCACGGCTGACAAAAAAAAAAAAGAAATTCACTTCGTAGTTACACCAGCACATTTGAACTGCTCAAGTGCGTCACAAGTGCCCAGCAATCTCTACAGTTAACATTCCAACCCCTTCTAAAGCACATTGGTCATTTTCCTTTACCACGTACCACAATCATGTCATGAAGCTGTTAACCCTGCAATACCTCACAGACCTATCTTAAATGGTGAATAAAAAAATTCAATTTTGTAGAAAACTTTTCTCCCTGCTAAGAATGTTCTTGAACATCAGATAAATCACACTGAGTTACCTAGATGATCATTTTTGTTGTCCCGAATAAACAATATTTCAAACATTTTATGTGTATGTGTGCACATACATGTGCAAGCCCACACACGTGCACACTCTACCACTTGAATGCGCTACAATTTGAACTACAGTTCCACTTGTAGCTTTTTGTGGCTAACTGGAGATAAGAATCTCGTGGACTTTCCTGTCCAGTCTGGTTTTGAACTGCAATCCTCAAATCTCAGCCTCCTGAATAGTATAACAGGCATGAGCGCCTCACCTCAAACATATTTTACATACTAAAAATATTATATACAGCACACGTGAGGCGGGTATGTGAAACAGGCCACCCTGACAATGCTGAGTTGTGCAAACTTTGCCGCCCCTTTATATAATTCTAAATTCCTCTTTAATAAACTTTAGGGGACATTTTTTTAGAAACCTCATATTTATTCAGCAGACAGGCTACTAACGTCTCACTGTGTGTAGGCACTGGGCTAAACACCCAGAAATGTGAACAGAAACATTCTCCATACTCTTGAAATTTACAAGATTGCATAATTACAGCAGAAAAATGTTAATTTCTCTGGAAACTATACCATTAACCACAAGAAAATATAGTTATCTGACACTTAAAAATGGAACCCGTTCATTGTGGCCACAAGTGGTGGCTTTTGATGTGCAATTGTTGGGTCCACAGATGGACAAATCACTGAAATTACAGAGAGCCTGAGGGAGGACTTTTGCCTCTAGACTGAGCGACCCTGGCTGCTTATATCCAGTGGCTCATTATGAGGACAAATGATGGGACACCCACAGCCACTCCAGCTGGAAACACACAGCCAGAACATTCCAGACATAGTTTCTGGTTAAATGTTTAATACATTGAAGATTGTGTCCAAGTTTTAAAATGGCCATTGGCCAACAGCTCTTCAGGCTCATGAAAGAACTACAGAAATGGAAGGCTGAAAGAAGGCTTCAGAAGGTCCTCATCTACAGCCTCTTCAGACCTAGCGGGACCTCATCAGTTCCCGTAAGTGAAAAAACAAATCCAAGTGATGGGAAAGCGTGTTAACCTACAACTACCACTGAAACCATACACCGGTAACGTAATGAAGGCACATATATGTTTGGCATATATTTAACTTAATTAATTTAAGCACACCATGGATTATTTGGATAGTGATTCATCAAAAGAGTCCTGGCTGTAAAGAAGATAAAGTTCAAGAATTTTATTTCTCATAGGAAATCCTATATCTCTGAATGAATGAAACATGTTCACATTCATTATAAATTAATTCACATTCATATAATTTAATGCAACTCAAAAGTAGCCAGTACTCTTTGATGATAACAAAGAAGGGAGCAGGATGGAGGAAAGAGGGAAGAAGAGAAAAAGGGAGGGAGGCAGGCAAAGAGGGAGGGAGGGAGGGAAGGAAGGAAGGAAGGAAGGAAGGAAGGTAGGTACTGAACTTTATGAAATGAGACCTTTGGATTACAATACTTAAAAATACATCTTTTGAAGTTATTGCAACCACATAATGTGTGCTTAACTAGAATGTTACAGCTGGAAGTCCCTGGAGTGACACTCCTAAGCAGGTCCTAGGTAAACAGGATGCTATGTACAGTTGAGTTTCCATAGTAAATATGTTTTCATCCATCTATAGAGTTGGCATCACAACAAGAAAGTGATATTACACTTCTGTGACTTGCTGGTCCTAGTGCCATGACAGCTAGAAACAAGCATGAAAAGGAGAGGAACACAGTGATGATGTCATTTTTGTTACTGAAAGACTGCTGGCCTCTGACGTTGGCAGATAAGCCACGTAGATTCTGGCAAGTAGTGTTTAGAAGTATTTATTCAACAGAGGTAAAACTGGACACAGATTATGAAATAAGGGGTAGGGGGTGGAGAATAGCCACAGGTAAAATTAATAATTAATTAATTAATTAAGGAGATGCCTACTAGAAGGAGGAAAGAATCACAGGGTCCTGAGACATCGCAGGGGTCTTTTGGGTCATATCTGTGCTACTGGATGGTCTCAAACATCTACACTTCTCTCTATATATCAAGACTA